TCATGCCATCTGTTCTTAATACTTCTTAGTACTAAATCTTCCGGAATATTAGTATACATTGCTTCAATATCAAAAGACAATATTTTATATTCGGAACTTAAAGACATACCATTCAATTTATTTACAAGCTCAAAACTATTTTTAATATGACTAAAATTTTTATTAACACTCTTGTCAATAATTTTTTTTAAGTAAGCAGATAATTGATACAAGGGACTGTTAATACAACTCACAATGATTCTTAATGGATTACCTTTTTTATGTATTTTCGGCATACCATAGCACCTAGCAATTGTACCATCCGTGACGTTAAGATTTTTATAAATTGGTTAATCTAAGTATTCCATCTCTTTCCAACGATTTAACAATACATGTGTTTGTTTAGTTAATCTTTTCGTAGGGTCTTTTTTAATGTTAATGTAAGTGTTACAGTCCGACAATATTGCATGCATTTTTGTTTTATATTCTAGTTTATTCATGACAACAGTAGTATTGCCTTTGTCCGCCTTAGTAATTAAGATGTCCGTATGTTCCCTCATAAATTCCCTGACGTTCTTTATTCCTCTTTTTAGTAATGCAAAGTCTTCCAAATCTTGTGACGCGACTCTACCTGGTAATTTGTTCAGTACTTCTATACATTGGTTTCTCACAGTATTCCGTATCTTGTCCTCTAAATTGAAAATATTATGCTCAATATGTTTAATGAATTCTGTAATAATTTTATCATTGTCTGTTATTTTATGTGGAAGATTGAATTTTTGACCAAGTTGTAAAATCATTTGCACATTATTTGGAATCTCTACATCACTTAGGTTAACTAGCCATTCTTTGTTCATATTATTTAAGGAGAAATTCTCCTCAAATTCAAAAGGACTAATCTCAATTTGATATAAATTATTTATGTTGTTATTCTCTATTGTTTGAGTAGAAATTTCTTCTATCTTTGACGGAACAAATTGCCCATTTAAATTTGTGAATTCTGACCAAACTAATCCAAATTTAATAGATTTTATACTTCTCCTTCTTAATAGTTCAGAAGCAGCTTTTAAGTTTGTTAATTTTTTATTTACCCTATAATTTTCTTTACACCATATTCTATTCATAATAATTTCTTGCCTTTGAAAAAAAGAAGCAGATATTTGTTCTGGTAAAAAACTCCATATTAGTCTTTGGTGCTTGAATAAATTATTTTTTACTTTAAATAGGAGATCATAAGCATCATGTAATTCTACGTGCATAATCTTAAACGCACATTGATTTTTTAACCTACTTATACTGTCTTTATAAGTTTTACGTAAGATGTTCGAATGGTAATTATTAATTCCTTTAAGATGTGTCGGAATAAGTCGTTCTTTTAAACAGCTTTTGAGGAAATGTATTTTAAGTCTTACGTTAATGTTTTGTTTCATTAATTTTATACATTCTTTTAATAACACACAAATTTGATAACCATAGTATATTCTAATGAACTTAAAAAATGGAAGATTTAAACGCATGTTTCTGCCGCGTTATAATAAATTAATAAATAATAAACCGTGGATCGATTTACAAGATAACTTTCGGTTATAAATGGCTTTTTCCATCTTATGTAAATTATCCTTACCTATAACTTAATCACCGATGTTAAATTATTCATGGGTTTGTACGCAACTTTCTGATTAATTTTATCAGCTATAGAAATAAATTTTTCTGATATGTTCTTTACATATGGAATTGCGAAATAATTATTAATTGCTAGGGTCTCATTCGCAAGATTATTTTTCATAATGTCATTAACATATAATTTATTTCTTTTTGATAGTTTTTTCAATCTACAAGACTACTAGAATATGTATTGAAGTACTGCCATGGTTTTGGTTTATGCATTATTTGTTTAATATTGAGAATGGTCTGATGACAGACCGAAACGTCTATTTATCATATTTATCATTAATTATGTATCATTAAGATGAGTAAAATAGAAATAATTTTTTAATAAGAATTCGCTATTTCAATCCTGCGCACGTGGAAAAAGCCATTTATAACCGAAAGTTATCTTGTAAATCGATCCACGGTTTATTATTTATTAATTTATTGTATTATTAAGAAATACCTGTAATTATATTCCTAGTGAGAAATGATAATGAAATCAACATCGAATTATCGATGTCGATTCGTCGTCGAAATCATCAAATCGATGTCGAATCGACATAGATTTGACATCAATTTCATTGTCATTTCTCACTGGGTTAGATTCTGTATAATATAGAATCTATTTTATACAGATAGAATTATGTATGATAGAATCGTAGATAAAAATAAATTTTTTTGTTATCTGGAGACACTGGTAGTGTCTCGGCGCTAAGCTACGCGCAGCGACACTGCCTTGGCTACTTTACGCAAGCCGGCGAGTTGCGCCAGATCGAGATTATCGGATCTCAATAAGGGCTGAACCGGTCAAGTTCTAAGTGTGCTCAATCGATTGCGACCGGTCTAAATATAAATGAAAGTGTTTTTATTTTTTCTCTACATGCCTTACGAGCGGAGATATTGCGATGCAAAATCTGAAATCTTTGATCTGGAGTTTTATTAACGTCGTCGATCATCAACCAGACAGACTACGTTCAGACCAGAGGAAAAATGTACTGTTCATTTTTTCGATAATAGATGGCTTTTGATTCTATCTAATCAGCAGATTAGCACTATTGGCAACATTGAACATGAACATGATCCCACATGACGTGACGGCATGACGGCATACAAATACACATTAGAGCGCATATCTGTGTGATTTTTACACATAATTTCATACAATTTTACATTTATTTCGTTTGTATTGCTAGATACTCGCAAAAAATTACTAAACTCTCCGATCATAACCAAATAGGAATAGATGCAATTAAACTCATGTAAGGATGAATTTAATGTCATGAATCATGATGATTTTCATGTGAACAATATGTTAATCAGATATGACAATGATGGCAAACCTATTGATCATATTTTTATAAGTATCATCACGTCATAAAAAACCATGTACTTCCTCTAAATGTGAGTACTCAGTAGATTTATTACAAACGTGATTTTATTACGGTTAAGAATTTAAATAAGTTATTACAAGAACGAAGGACTCTTAATTTAAAAACAATAACGAGAAAATAAAGGGCACATAAGAGTCAAATATAATGAAGTATTTTAAAATATGAAAAATCAAAAGAAATTTTGAATAATATAATATTCTATAATTAATTAAAATATAACATGTTTCGGTCTCACGATTGAGCCTTCTTCAAATATGCATATAGGAGATGTTACATTGAAATGAAGCAGTCGAATAGATAGAAAAAATTATACATATAGTGATGATGGCCAGTGAGAAGCTTTGCTCAGAAACGGAAATCACTCGCAAACGGCTAGATGACCGGTTGTTTGATATTTTCCGGTTCTGGTAACAAGCCAAGTTAGAAATAAATTAAGAGGATAATAAAAAATTAAGCAATAGAATACTCATGAGTTGTTTTGACCAGAGTGACGATTTTACTTAATTTTTTATTATGTTCTTAATTTATTTCTAACTTGGCTTGTTACCAGAACCGGAAAATGTCAAACAACCGGTCATCCAGCCGTTTGCGAGTGATTTCCGTTTCTCAGCAAAACTTCTCACTGGCCATTATCACTATATGTATAATTTTTTCTATCTATTCGACTGCTCTCTTCCAATGTAACATCTCCTGTATGCATATCTGAAGAAGGCTCAATCGTGAGACTGAAACATGTTATATTTTAATCAATTATTATAGAATATTATATTATCAATAATTTCTTTTGATTTTTCTCATGTTTTCAAATACATTTATATTTATACTTATTATATTTGACTCTTATGTGTCCTTTATTTTCTTGTTAAAAATTTAAAATAAAATAAAATAATTTTTAAAATTTTTAATTTATACTTACATGTGATAGAACATATACATTATTGAAACAGTGGATTTATGTTAAAAATACATTTTTTTTAATTTTTAAAAAGATGAAATTTTGTTATCAACACAATTTACATGTAACATATCTCGGTCACTTTATTAATCTACATTTCTTAATTTTTATGACAATTTTTATAGTTGTGTACAATAATAAAAATTTAAGTATAAATAAACAAAATGAATAGATAATATTTTAAAAGAGAAACGCTATTATAGTACTAACGCGTTGTTTAATTATCCGCGCAATATCGGCTTAAGTGATCAAGACAAACAGGCAATACTGATAACAGAAAATACTTGAAAATGCAATATGCTATGAATAATACAATAACCTCAGCTGTTTAATCGCATTCAGCTATATATACTCGTCTCTTTTTGATCCATGTCGTTCGCGCAAACTATCATTCTTGTTATGAAACTTTCTGAATATGACATTCCGATCGTAAGAATTCGTTTGATTACAGATAGACTTCCAACTGTGCGTTTACACAACACCGGTACTTGATTTGATATATTTTCTCAATACAAGTCCTTCCTTGGATATCATGGAAAACAAAAAAAATATTCTATTAAACGAATACTTTGACACCTTATCAGTGACTATGAAACAATTGAATTGCAAAACACAGCCGCTCACCATGGAAGAACTAAAGGTTACCATAAAGCGAAAAGCTAGCTATGAAATGATAGTATTCTTCGTCATTTTACCATTTTTGCTATGCTCTAAGGCTGAGGCGAAAGATTTGGATGAGTTAAGTTCTGATGGAAATCCAGGTGTCAAAAGCGAGAATTTTAGAAAGTTAATGATAAAAAGACTACCACTGTATGACGAATGGGGTTTATTGGATCTTCTAACGTATACTTTATGCTGGCTACTTTTAAACGGGTAAAATCTGAGGTCCTTTGTATATAATATTTTATCTACCAAATTAAAAAGTAAAACACAAATGATACTGTTTCTTGTTATTTATATACAAGCTTATCTTTTTAAAAAAAGGTAAAAAAAGCGCTAAGCGTGCGTGCTTTTCGTAAACATTATTTGGGCCGGTTTCACCAACGCCAATTACCTAATTCGCCGTGGAACTGACTAATCGCGTTTGCTGTTTAGTGGAATTGACCACTTATGGTTGACACGTATGGTTGATTCGACTTAATCGGGTTGGTGAAACCAGTCCTTTGTATATAATATTAATTAACTCTCTAATGATATGTATCATTCATATAAAAGATTTGATATCAACAATTGGCGCCAAGTTAAATTCCTCAAAATTTTATGTATCGATCGTAAAAAAGATTTGATATCAACAATTGGCGCCAAGTTAAATTTCATGTAATTCGGATACCAAATTAAATAAATAATATTGACTTTAATGATATGTATCATTCCTATAAAGGGTTTGATATATCAAGTACTGGCGCCAAATCCCATTTCTTTATTTACTTAATCCAAATAATACTATCTTTAATTTTTATAAAATGAAACCTAAGTATACGTATATCTTATTGAAGGATCTTCCTATTCCAATCCAAATGGTTTAAATTCCTCTTAAATGAAATTATTATATCACAATTCATTCAAAGATATTTTCTTTTCCAACTAAAGTAGTGGTTACTTAATTCTCTTTCAAAATAATATACTTGGCGCTGCTAGATCGAGTAAGAAAAACTATAAAAGCAATTTAAAATTAGAATAGTAATTAATAAATATAAGTAATAAAAGGTAATTATAATTTAAAATTAATAATAAGAGTAATAATAAATT